CATCCATCCAATTTGTTGTTGTTGTTCATCATTCATTGATCTATCTCTTATTCATAGCAAAAAGACACCTCTAAATTACGTTGTAAGCCATCCTGAGGCTTTTTGCGAATTAGGATGGCATATAAATATTAGAAAGAAGGAAGGAAGGAAGGAAGGAAGGAAGGAAGGAAGGAAGGAAGGAAGGGGGCAACATTTGGCCCTCCAACATTTGGAGCATCCCTGCAATAAAGGCAGAAGTTATGATCCTACAGAAAGCAGAGTAATGGGGTCATTAGTCCTGAGATGCCATGCATAATGGACGACATATAAAAGTTTTAAATAAGTAAGTAAATAAGTAAGTCATTGCAGTATCAGATCTACTTTTACCGCTCAAAGTCCCATACCACTGGGGGAATGAGTTGCAGTGGTCCCTACACTGGCAGACAGAGGTACACTTGAAGTGTATTTCCAGTAATTTCTGATAACAGAGATAAAGACAGCACATCTCCAGAAAAGAGCCCATTCAAATCCAACCCCCTTGACTGAGTTTTGGGGAATGTTACAGCCTCCCAAAGGACATTGCTGAGGTATGACATGAACTCTAGGCAACTTCTGTGCTGGACTTCTTTTCAGCTTTTTAACCAGTCCTCTTGTGCTCTTCACAATGGGCAGGTGAGGGAGACGCTAGCAGCAGAAACTGGCTTGACCGTTCGAGTGGTGCAGGTCTGGTTCCAGAATCAAAGGGCCAAGGTGAGTGGCAGCCTCAGAGCTTTGTACCTTTGACACATGTGGGGAGCAGTGGATGTCGAGGGGAGACCATCGCTGGTTGCCAGTGGTCCCATCGCTTGCAGCTATAGGACGGTCAGTAACACAAATCCCCTACTCTAAAAATGTTTCTTTTCCTGCCCAGGAGAGTTTCTTTTCCACCCAGCACTGCAGCCCCTTCCATGCCACAACAGCACCCTCACCAAGGTCCATTTCAAACCAACACTACACAGAGGCTTCCTCCACCTCAAAACATCGGCTCACCATCCTTTCCTCCAGACTGAACTGAGCAGCCTGGGTCATCCTATCCAATCATGGACAGCCTGCAGCCCTCTTGCTCTGCCTTCCCTGATCTAGTACCACTCAGACTATAACCCCCATCCTTCCTTGACCATTGACCAGGCCAGCTGGGGTTGATGGGAGTTGGCATCCAACACTATCTTGGCCCCTCCAAAGGTTGGTTTATTCTCCAAGAACAGAAAGGTTTCTAGAAGAAGGTTTATTGAAGGGGTTTTTGTGTACGTGTCCTGACATGTTTCAATCAAAGTTGTTCTTGTTCATTTTCAATGCACACCCCAGCTTCCTATGCCATTCTCAAGGCATGTTCAAGGACAGGCTGGACGTCCACACGGTGGGCATGTCGTGAGCGGAGCCGGCTGGTGCCGGAGGTCAGACTAGATGGCCCGGGAGACCCCTTCTGATTCACTCTGTTTTCTATGTTTCTATGTAACAAGAACAGTTCCTTCTCCAACATGGCACTTGCCAGATGTTTTGGAGTATTGCTCCTATCATGCCAGACCATGGGCCATGTTTGTAGTGCTGATGGGAGTTGTAGTCCAAACACATCTGGGGAAGTCTGATATAAGCCACTAAAAATGGCCATATATAAATAGAAAAGTAAACTAAAAACCTTCCATATCATACAAAACCTTGATACCATTACAAATACACAACACTGAAATGGTCCTGCTGTTTGAAAAACACCCACAGTTATTTTGACCAAAATAATTAAACTTATTCAAATATTGATAGCCATAGGAGCCTTGAGACTTTTTTTTAGAAAGGAACAGTATAAATACAATTAAATACAATTCAGTTCTTGTGCATGTACGCCACCCCCTTACACACACAGTCTTTTGTTCTTGCTGTTGTTTTCTCCCAAGCAGGACTGCCATTTTTATTTTTCCTAGCAGGACTCCTGTGCCAGGTAGAAACTCATCAAGTGACATCCTCCCTTTCACCATCATGGCCACACTTACTGATTTCTTCCTGTGATGAAGTCATTCAGGGCCATTCAGCACTACAGCAAAAACAGAAAACAGAGAAAGATAAAAACAGAAAAAAAGGAAAGTGGTAGCCATTTTCCAGAATATGAAGTTTTAAAACTGTGCAAAGGCTTGGGTGCCTTTTTTCTGGCAAGTTAGCAGTCAGTGGGGACTAGCATCATGCCGTAGGAAATAGGGATGTATAAGACAGGGGCAGGTGCACCTGGCTGGGGAGGTTGGATGTCCCCCTCCCCCCATTTAGGAGGGGGACTGTGTTCTCCCTTCCCCCTTTTGTTGCGCCCCTGCCCAGGAGCATCCATCCTCCTCCTTACAGATGAAGAAGATAGCCCGCCGGCAGCAGCAGCAGCAGCAGCAGCAGCAGGAGCAGGAGCAGCTTGGAAACCCCCGCCTTGGGGCAGGAAGGGGAAATGGACGAAGCAGCAGGCAGAGCAATGAGGACAGTGAAGGTAAGAAGTGCCATCAGCCACTCCAGAACATCCTGAGGAGAGATGACCTAGGGATGGGCAGCTCCCACTAGTTGGAGTCCATGTCAATTTCTCCTGTGCTCATTGGTAAGTCTGTTTCATTCCATGTCCATGTTAATCAGTCATATTTTATTTTTTCAAAACAGAGCAGCCGTGGTTTGCTGTTTGGGTTCTGAATTGTGGGTTGTTTGTGGTTTACAGACCATGGTTTGTAAACTATGACTAGGTTCACACAACACCACAATCCACATTTCAGCAACATGATTTGGTGGCAATCCATACTCATTCGTCTTTGAACATGGGCTGCTATGTGAACTGAGTCATTCTCTGGCTGTGTTCACATAATTATTTTGGCCACAGTGGTTTCTGGCACATGTCAGTGCATGTGGGGTAACTTTTGAATATACAAGCCATGATCATGGCTTGTCATGTCATCCAAACTCAGTGCAGGTGGGTTGCTGGCATGGATAACAAGCCACCCAACACCTATGGGTTGCTCTCGGGTTGCGGCCAGCTTGTGAATAATCCTAATAACCCATTCTTGTGGGGCTCATATAACATGCATTCATGGCCTGGATATGTAAAATGGCTGCTTGCGCAAACCATAGCCCTCTGTGAGTTAAATAAACCACGGTGGGCTGCTTGATCATTCGAACTTGCCCTCTGTTTTAGAGAAGAATCTGTTCAGAAGGTTGCATTACCCATGTCCACCTTTTCTCCATCATGGCTTGCTCCCTTGCTTCAGAGAGTCCACAAGAACCAGGCAAAATGCATTTTTGAAGGATGGTTTCAGTCCTCCAGCTCTTTTTTCTTTCATGTTAAGGAAGGATTACTGCTAACTCCCAAACATTTGTTGATATGCTTCATATTCTTCTTGGTTTGCTCTGCTTCGCCGATCACTGCACAGATGGCTCCAGTGTGCACGGCATAGATGGACTCATGGTGCCCTACTCCAGAATTGCCCAACAGCAGCTGCTTCCCCTGGATCAGAACAGCTACAGCACAGACTTGTACCGGCAAGGGCTCACTCCACCCCAGTTGCCAGGGGACCATCTTCATCCCTATGGTGAGCACATCTCCCCAGTGTCCATTCCTATAGATGTCAAATACCCATATTCCAGCCTTCCCGAACTTGGTGCTGTCAAGATGTGCTGCACCCATCATCTCCACCCAACTTGGTCAGAGGATTGGGGATGATGAGAATTGTACTCCAACCCAGTCAGAGGAGGGCACAAGGCTGGGGGAAGCTGCTGCAAACTATCTGTCATCCAGTTTTCTAGAAGTAAATGTGAACAAATATCAGCTGTACTGAAGAAGCTGGGCCTGGGCATTCCCCTTCTAGGTTCTCTCCCTTGCAGCCAAAGTTCTGTTCCTTATGGGCTTGGTTGAAGCTACCAACATCACTTTCTCTGACAACAGAGAAGCCGATTGCTTTTCCCTCCCTGGGGCCACCAATTTTTGGTGCAAGGGCCCACCGATGGTCAGAGGGCCCACTGATACTCAGTGCCTAAGGATCCACAACAATCAGGAACATCTCCTGATTCTGTGGCATGTTTCTCTCCCCAGAGGATGGGATGATTGCTGTTTCAACCCAATGGTACAGCTAGGGTTGGACTTCACAGCCAAAGTCCAGGGCTCCCGATGACCACCTGCAAAGAGGCAGATATAGAGACAAACTCCATTTTATTCCTGTAATCATGTGAGTGCTGTGATTTAAATGAGTTCAAAAGCATATGCTCAGAGTAGTTAGTCTTTTAAAAAAATAGAGCTGCAAACAGTGATGCGCCTGAACTTATTGCAGCCATGTTAAAGCATGGAGAGGCAGGGGAGAGAGTTGTTGTGTGCTCTGGTTAGTTGCATGCATTACACGCAGGCATCTAAAGGAGAGGGGCAAAAGGCCATTAAGTCCAGTGCTTCAACTGGAAAGTATGTTGCCTTCTCATTTTCTCTCTCATTCTCTGCTTCCCTGTCCTAGATTCAGAAGGTGTCTTCCACGACATGGACAGCGACACCATCGGTCACTTGGGTGACTGCCTGCTGTCAGCAGCAGAAGCCAACCTCCTGCAAACCCGAGTGGGCAACCCCATTGACCGGCTCTACTCCATGCAAAGTTCCTACTTCACCTCCTGACCATGGGGGCATGTTTGGCTCCTTTTCCACCCAGGGCACACCACTCTGAGCTTAGAAGGTGGGAATGGCTGGAGGAGCAAGACCTATCTGGGGGTGAAAAATCTTTGGACCCTGCAAAGGCAATGAGGCTGTCCAGTCTTTCCATGCTGATTCTTCCTGGGTGCCGACCATCAAAACTTGGAGGACTGCTACACTGCCTTTCCTTCACCCTTCACCTGATGTCCTGTACATGGATAATTTCACATTGTGTAGCTGTACTTATAGCAGTGTGTTTCTGTGTTTAAAACTGTAGGACACAGAGGCTAGTTTGACACACCATCACTGGAGGTGGAAAATCTAGCTGTTGGTTAAGGAGAAGGTTTCCAGTGCTCTCATGCTGTTTTTCATAAGAGTTGAATTTTGATTTTCTTGTTAATTTTCTTCAGTATTGGAAAAACTAACAGTTGGGTTTTCAGGAACTTGCCAACATACAAGAGAGCAAAGATTAGTCATGGGGAAGCAAGTCCTCTAAGGAAATTAAGTGTAGGAGTGTACTACTACAACTAGAAAGCTATACTGCTTTTTATAACATTGTCATAGTTCTCTCACTCAAAGGAGATTCTGAGAACTCTAGCTTGGTGAATGTGCAGAGAAAACTCAGCTCAGGCTTACTGCCAGATCATAGATCTACAATTCTCATGGGCAGGGAAAGATTGCTAAAATAGTTTGATTGTAATACAGATAGTCTTAGAGTTGAGAGATCCCAAGGACACCTAAGAGATGGTCTTGATCAGAAGTGGGCAACCTGGGACTCTCCAGATGTTGTGGTGTCCAATGTCCATCAGCACCAGAAACATGACTAATGAAAGCTGTAATCCAATATTTGCATGGGAGAAGTTTCCCACCCCTAGTCTAGATTAGTCTCCTCCTCACCTGCTGTCCCCCAGATGGGAACTACTGTCTTTTATCAATTGGTTGTAAGCCTCTCCAGGAGCCTTGATTTGGGCCAAGGATCAACATAAATAAACCAACAGAGTTGTCATCGTCCCCAGCCAACATGGCCATTGATTGGATGACCAAAGTTGCCCAACACATCTGGAGAGCACCAGATTGGAGCAGGCTGGTCTAGATGAAGACTGGCCTTGGTCTACTGAGTGCCTTTTGTCATGGATCTCCACCCACTTTATCCTTCATAGTTTTTCACAAATCTCTCTCAGTTCAGCTCAGCAATGCTGCAACCCTAAGCAAGCACTGACAAGAGTTCTCACTCCCACCCCAAGCTCTCTGCAACACTGAAAGCCAGTGGACTGTCTTGGGTGATTTCTGCACCACATGTGGAAGCTGGCTATCAAAGTTGGGTGATGCTTTCCTGTCCAAAAGGAGATTCAGAATTCTGTACCCACCTCAAGACATCGGTGTTAGGACTGAGCTGAGTGCTGCATAACTCAACCATAGTCTTTTGAGAGTGCTGTCTTTACCCTGTGAATATGCTTGAAATTCATGTCACTCCTGAATGCCTCCACTTGTTTGAAATCTGCCCCACTTTCCATCAGCCATTTGATAATTGGCAGAGATCGCATCTATAGTCATTGTAGCACTGTGACTTCATAAGAGCTCTTCTGTCACCATTGCAGCACACAATCTGGGTCCTTTCATCAAAAACACAAAAGACACTGGGCTCCCAGTAGATCATACACTTCTTCTGCCCTGTGATCAGTTCATGGCAGCCGGGACCCCAGGCCGAGGATCATAATGCAGCCCTCCTGGGCTCCCTTATTCCAAACTGATTGGTGGTTTCTCAGCTTTGGGGCAATTTTTCCCCATCCTAAAAGGTTGAAATTCTTCTTCTGGGGCTTAGTTACTGGCAGTAACAGCTTTAAACTAAAATATGCTGGCATTTTTGGCCCACACCCCTTTTGCCTTTGATCCCGCTGAGCACTAGAAAATGGTCCCTTAGAGCTTCTCTGAAATAGTATTTGGACAGGCTGAAAGAGGTCTGATGTCCTGCATTACCCTTTCCTGAACCAATAAGTGAGATAAAGCCCTTTGATCACTGATGGGCTGTGATGTGCCGGTGCAAAGTAAATATTTGGAATATGCCAGGAGGCAATCCGGTTTTATATAGACATGGCTTTTCCAAAACCGGACCACTTCCTTCAAAGCTGGCAACCAACATCAGCATTCCCTTAATGGCAGCTAAGTGTACATAATCTATGTTAATGTGCAGATCAACACTCCAAAATGGAGTTGAAAAGAAGACAATCATATATGAAGAGTGGGTGGGATGTGGAAGCAGGTGCCCTTCTGCAAAAGCAATCTGTTAAATGTGGGTGGAGGAAGACTATCCTTCAAATAAAGTAATCAGCTCTTGTTTTAATACATTTTGATGGTGGGGGACATTATGTAGAAAGATTCTCTAGTCTGAGAAAAACCTGTTTTGATGTGAGTCTGCTGGACTGATCTACAAATAGACTGTCCACATAGTGTAGGTCATTCATAACTATATTGCAGGGTGGAACACAACCTCAATCCTTAAATGCTTCCCCTAGTCATCTTAAAGCACAATCCTATATAGTGCTGTATATCTACTCAGAAATAAGACCCAATGAGGTGGGCTTACACCCAGGGACTAAAATGGTCATAAATTTTGAAGTAAAGGCACTCATCATGGCAGTCTTACTAACCACACACCAAATGAGAGTCCAAAATTCCAGGCAGCTGCCATGATCCATGTTCTAGTAGTTTAGTAGATTAGTAGTAGTAGTAGTAGTAGTAGTAGTAGTAGTAGTAGTAGTACAAACCAGTTCTAGTAGTTTTCATCTCCACTATGAGCTGGTGTTTTATAAAGTAAATGGGTCTTCATTGCCCATTCAAGACAAGGACATCCTCAAACCCTTTTCGTTGCAGCAGGAAATATTGCTGCTGATCAAAATTCATTTCCTTTCCTGTTCCCACCCCAGCTACTCTGAGAATTACAGGTAAACTTAGAGGGAACAGGGAATCAGGACTGAGCAGCAGATATCATTAACCCTGCTAATATAAATAGTACAGTGTGGCATCCCTGAGGGTCCTGACTCCACTACACCACTACTTCCAGGTAAATAGGTATAGCCTAAAAGTATCTAATGGGGTGAAGGGTTTCACCTGTAACTATTCGCTGTTTCGTTAGGGTAGCCAGGATATAGAAAATTGGTCTCAGTATGCAAGCAGACAAAGCAATTTGATCAATGTAGATGCTGCATATATGCACCCGTGTTCATAAGCCACACACATCCAAAGTCATGTTTAACCAGGAGATCTAACCAGTGTGGGGGAGAGCTCATAGATTTTCCCCAACCTGATGCCTTTGAAATGTTTTTGGACTCCAGCCCAAGCCAGCATGGTCAGTGGTCACGAATCCTGGGAGATGGAGTCCAGAACATCTGGAGAGCACCAGGAAGGGGAAAGGTGGCTCTGAGCCATGTTGTTCAGGTGGCTGGTGACCCTGACCTTGTCACTGAAGAGACAGGCAGGATTAACAGCCAACTGAATGCTATCCATTTTGGCCCTTTCCTAATGTTGCTAGGAAATCTGATCTCTTTTTAATTTTTAAAACCACTGTGTGAAGATTCAGGCATTTACCATGTTATTGATCATCAATATTACTAATAATATTACTGATCTTACTAGTAATATTATAGTTGAGGTGTCCATCATGGTGTCCACAGACACCTTTGCTTGGCATCTGCCAGGCTTCCTGCCATTCCTGATCTTCATTTGATTTTTAGAGAATGTTTTAAATTTTTTCCCCTAATGGTCAGGCTGCAAAGCAAAGCACTGTCCTCTGGCATAATCTTTATTTGGAGTCAGAAGAGTTGACGTATTTTGTTTTGGAGGTCACACCCCACCTATGCCTTGGACTTGGGTTCTTGAGTAAGGCTTTGCTTTTGCTTTGGCCTCACCACTTTGCATTCTGGGACATGAATATTATACCCACCATGGCGGCCATCTTATAAATGGGGAAGCCCTGCTCATGGCAGCCATTGCCGAGGTGTGCGCCAAGCCCCAATGGTCCAGAACTGAGCATTACATTGTATCACTATCATCACCTCTTTGTTCTCTTTTCAGTTCATATGCTTCTTAAAGTGGGGGTGGCAACCTGCTTCTACTGGACTGGACCACTGAATTAAATCAGGGGTCTTACTCTGAGTAACCTGTCTTACTCTGAGGGCTGCATTGCATTTCAGAGCAGCTCTCAGGCTACATACTGAGAATGGGCAGGGCTGAAGGCAGAAGGGCAGGACCAAAGTTCCTTAGCTGACAGCTCTTACAGCCAGTACCTAGGCATGAGAGAGAGGCATTTAGACATTTCAGAATGAGGAAAACTGGGAAATCAGCCGATAGTCTTGTCAATTCAAGACAATCAGCAGTTGAGGAAAGAAGGATGGACACCCACAGATCCCAGCAGGATGGATCTGAGCCATGGACCTGTGGTTGAACACCCCTGATTTAAATGGAAATGAGCATAGAAAACTGGGTGCAAGATTGTAACCTCCTCTGTAGCTAAAGCTGAAGGCCGTGTTGGCACAATACACCAAGACATCATCCTGTCCAAGCCACACAAAAACTAACATGGCATGTGCAGAGCGTCCAGACAAATTGTGCATTCTCTGTAGGTCTATATCGCTCCTCCCACCCAGGGGCATTTGCACTAGGTTTGGGGTACAAAGTGAGTTTTGAAGAGTCTTTCTGTGCAGCAAGTACACATCAAAGGTTGCCCTCCAGACATCAGGCCTGCTGAAAAAAAGCCTCACTTGTTCATGCCTATTGTGATCCAATGTTGTGTCGTGCTGATGTCTTTTGCATGTACATTTGGAAATTAAACAACAAAAATCAAATGCCAAACCTGCCTAAGATTAACTGTCTGCGCTTTCAGCTGCTTGGCCCTGAAGCCAAGCAGAGATGAAATTCCAGAAAGAGCCTGTCCTAGTGCTCGCCATCGCCTATAACATTAAACTGGGGTGAGCCATCCTATGAAAATGCAAAGAGGTGTGCCTTTTAACCTGGCATGTTATAAAAAGAGCAAGCTAGCCTAAAGCATCTAATCTCAGTCCACATATGGCAGCCCACCAGGGAACTGGTAAGAAAAAAAGCACACCTCTTTCTGCTGCCTGCTTTGAGACTGCTTCCACTTGTGAGTTGTCAACTCAATTGTCACTGACGGGGCACACGCTGCCTCACGCCACAGAAACTGTTGCTGTAGAAACCAACAGGCAAAGATCACAGGAGCTTCCACAGGCCAAAGTTGCTGGTTGCATGAAGGAGCCAGAACACAGGTTTTTAAAGTGACTCCTTGGCAGTCATGTTTCCAAACGACACAAGAATATTTTCTTTTCTGCCTGCTCCCACTGTTTCATGAACACCGACCCACCAATGAATTGGGCCTACTTAGGCCATTCTGGCTACGTGTGCATAGAACTTCTGCATGGCTGCTACTTCTGTCCAAGGCTAAACTCAGCCGCATAGGACCAAGAAGGCTACCCTGCACCTTTGCACCAGAGGGTGACATGCCTACCTTTCCTAGGTTGAACTGACACAATCTCTCTGGGCAGCAGCATTTGGATATGGGCCAGTGTCACAAATGATGCAGAGGCACAACTCCTGGGGCCTCACGCAGCTGCCTGTGAGTCAGTAGTTCAACCTCAGCAGCCCTTGTAAGAATGCAGGAACTTCCAGACAGAAACGTGCCAGTGAGCAGCCGCTCTTGCTGATCCTGAACAAAGTAGCAACCCGCTTCTTGCAAAATCATGAGCTTATGCCCTGCAATGCTTCTCACACCACCATTTTTGGCCCAATAAATGCACACTTGTGTTATTCATTCGTTTTGTAGGATTCTGGCATCTGCCTCCTTTTGCAGCATCACAGCCTGAGCAGTGAAAGCAGAGTAATTTGGTTTCATCATCTTTCTTCCCTCTTGCTCCTCTTTTTTTTTGAATCACATTTCATTATTTGGTCATTAGAGGCTACATGCCCCCTTTCCAGTGCTAGATCACACAACTAGTCTGCGGATGACTTGTTAAAAGGGGTGACTGGCAGCAGTTATCATAGGCATTAAGGACATCCCCTTCCTATATGTGACATATGGAATCGATGATTTTTCCCTTTCTCTTCCAAAGAGACAGAAAGAGAAAGGGAAAAATGGATTAAAGGGAAGAAAGTGTGACACAAGGCCACAGGTTTGTTACTCATCCAGTGAAGACTGAAAGGACCTTCCCAGCAGCCAACATGAAATCCTGCTGGATAGACCCCAGGGTCATTCAGTCCAGTCATTCAGCAACCGAACAGCTGCCTGTGGGAAGTCCATAAGCAGGACACAAATGCAATCACCACCACTGAAGTCATTATTCCTCACAACATCCAGGCATGATACTTCACCAGCAGCACCATGGGAAACTTAAAATGGAAGCAACAAAGCACTGGTCACTGATCACTCCAGTGTGACTGATTGCACAGTGGGGAAAACCCACTATGGCCTACCAGTACAGGGAAGGGCCCTCAGAAAGCAGGTTGCTGGGTGGGGGGATCAAACCAGCAGCAAACCCTGAGTTCACACATGACCCCTGTGCCCACCACCACCTTTCCTACAGACATACGATGACACAGGATGTGGGCACTTCCACTTCAGATCTTCTGGAGAACATGATGCCTTCATATGGGACCTCCTTCTTGTCAAGAACCTGAAATTCATGGAGGTTGAAGCACCCAATACTTCACTACTGGAAAAGGATTGTTCTCTGGATAAGACTGAAATGGACTCCAAATGCACAATAAGCTATATTTTTGGACAACATGTCAACTCTTGAAGGGTTTCTTTACTCTGCACAACTCCTGCATTCACCCTCTTTCATGTCCATCTTGTTTCTGGCTGGACATAAGCCAATCAAAACTATGTATGTGTGCATGAAAGGAATGCAGTCCCTCCACCGTCCTTCACCCATTTGAGAGCAGCATTCTAACTCCCCCGAGGAGATTACCAACACCAAAGGCCACACTGCCGATTAATAGGTATTCTCAATAGCGAGTGAGAAGTAAGGTTTAAAATGAGGACATTTTTCCGGATGAGGAATAAAAGGCAGTGGATGAACTGTTTGTTCTCTTCTGTGCCAGCTTGGCATGTAAGTTCTGCTTGGCTGGTGCCAACAACCACAACCTGGTGGAGCAATGGTTGGATAGTTTTCTTCTCCACCAGTTGTGACTTCATGAATCAGGGAGTTGTATTGCGAAGGGAGGAATCAACAAGCACAGCAAAAAATGAAACAAATGAATTGCCCTTCACACTCCTGCCCAAGGACCCCACTGTCCATTTCAAATAATTAGCTTTCATGCAATCTCTCTGGGGAAACAAGAGCATACCATTACACAGAGGAGGAAACAGAGGTGAAACAATGGCCCAGAGCCTAAGCAACTTATAGCCCATAGATCACTGCTGTATGGCCTTTTCAAACACACTAACAGCCTCTGTCCAGAAATTATTTGTACCTATACCCCTTTAAATTCAAAGGCACAAAACAAACTAGTTATGGCTTCCTTAAGTTAACAGGATGTTGCAACTAATATTCTGTGGACTGGGCTATTAACCCTAAGGCAGGATGCAGGATCTCTTTCAAATCCAGAGAATCATTCAAGAGCTGTATTCTGGTGGTTGGCAGGACTGATGGCAAAAGAGGTGGTGCCAAATGGTCAAAAGGTAGAAAAAAAGCACCACCCTATTTTAGCATAAAACTTTACTTACTGCCAGCAATTAAATCTTAGGAGAGTTTTTTCAGCCTTCTAGTAGAAGTGGAAAAACTGCATGGAAACCTCCAATCAATCAGTTTGTGGAAAAGGTGGAAAGGCAGGTGAGGGGCATGACCCTGGAGGGCAGCTTTGGTCCCCAGAACTGAGGTTCTGCGTCTTTGCTCTAATGCAAGGGGATTCTTTCATTACTGTAAATTAACCCTGCTTGTTCCTCCACACCTACATCAAGCAATCACATTCCCTCATAGACAGGATCAATTGACTCAGATCAACCACCCCTTGATGTTCTTTAAGCATGGTTTGGCCTCACAGAAGAGGCCATTTTTCATTTATTAGTTGGGCTTTTGTACATTATATTATTGATGTTGTGATGTGCCTGTATTAATGTCTTTTTTCTGTATTTAAAAATAAATAAATGGGAGGGGTCGACAGAAATGGTGGCCTGCTTGTGGCCTGTACCACACCAGGGGTTCACTTCAGGTAAGGGCTCATGTGGTGATGTTGACACACCAGCTCTGTATACATCCACACTCTTCACTGGTACAGTCCAGACATGGGTTTACTAGCTCTGCCTGAAGAAAACTATGATTAAAAAGCCCCCAAAGGGTGGATTGCTTCCTCTTGTTAAGGGATGGTTATAGATCCAGTGTGGATTCTAATCCATCCAGAGGGTGTCAATTACTCTGGACTGACTAATATGAGGAGACATGGGTGTAACTTTGTATATGTGATGCCATTTTTATGTTTTGCAATGCAGTCAAGAAACAGTGATGTGACTGAGAAGGCTGTGCATGTTACGACAGTGCCCTCTATTGGCTATAAGTGGGTTACCCACAGATAATTGCTGTGTCTCTCATTTTATTCCCATGTTCAAGGAAAAATGCTAATTTAAGCATGGGGTTGAAATGCCAAAGCTTCACAGATTTTGCAGAGAAGTTCCAAGAGCAGAACATTAGATTCCATTCCATGTCTGCCCAAGAAACTGTAATACAGCTGAGACATGATTCTACAGGTGCAAATGCTGGGGCCACTAAAACTGAAAAGCCAGAAAATGTTACTTTGGTCTCTGACTGCAGTTTATTGCACCATGTCTAGTAAGCTCCAGGCCCAGCAAAATGTATACAGCAGACTCCAAGAAGGAGTTCCGGCTTCACAGATAACAAGTCAAGCTGCTACTGTTACACCAATGCAAACTTCCATGGCTTGTCGATCAAACGCTGTCCTTCAATGTGCCAAGCTGACAAGACAGTAGCAGCCACAGCTGGGCAAATGGTATCCAGGGCAGGGTAAGAACTTCTGTGTCCCAATAAGACCTTGAGTTCATATGTAGTGCTTCCAGGGGTCTTTAATTGCGCTGGCATTCCAGAAAACAACTCGGCCAACACTGACAAGATCACTGCTTTGGACTGAGAAGAGAAAGGGTGAGGTAGGGGAGGGAATATAGCACAAATGAAAGAGCTTGGTGTTTCAATATTTGACTTCAAGATTGTCCTTACACAGTTCCAGAGTCTGACACCGTGATACTTTCAGCAGGGAACCTGGTACCCTCCAGATGTTTCAGACAACTACTGTAAGCCCAGCCAGCATGGCCAAAGGTCAGATTCCTGGGACACCCATTTTGCGTTTCTCTGCCCTATGAACTGCAGCCTGCATAACAAAGAACTGACATTATCTTTCATGCATTCTGCAAAGTGGGCTTGCCAAAAAACACTTACCCAACCATGGGTAGGAATCACCACCAAAGGATCTCTGGCTGTCCTCTCTTTTATCCCTTATTACCAAGAGCAGCCAGGGCAAGGGGAGCCCAGCTGCATTGGCCAGTCAAGAAATTCCATTCCAATTTCAGGAGAATTAAGGGCAACTCTGTCACCAAAGTTCATCATCTGCTCTCTTTCCCCCTCTCTGGAACTGGAGCACAGCAGGGGCTGCCCTCCCTGTCTTCTGACCACATGCATCAAGGAAACAAAATAGGAATTATCTTGTTGCTGGTGCTTTTTTATTTGCAAGGCAAGAGGTGGCATATAAGCCTGTATCAGTCTTGCAAATCAAGCAGCACCTAATCTGGTCATCTAAGCTCACTCTCTTACATGCTACTGCACTCACAGCCAACTGCACAGCCAGTTTTTGTTGATATATTTGAGTGATCTATGCTGGGACAGGAGAGCCGTTCGGTAGCCCACAGGCTTTATCAGCCCCACCCTTATCAGTCCAAAACCTATTTCCCAATAGTTTACCTGAACCCTGGTAGGCCAGATAAAACATCCTATTAACCAAAGTCTGTTAAAACATTTCCCCACAGTGTCTCTTGAAAGGCAAAGACAGATATGCTGAAGCTGTAAGCAAGAGACTGCATACTTGAATTTACAGCTGTCCTCACTTGTTTCCCACCCATGTTACACAGTCTCTCTGAGCTCTAAGAACTGGAAGATTTCCTCATCCTGCTGTTGGTTTCCTACCTGCCAGTTTGCCTCAAGTACTCCAGTTGCCTTTATTTTCCCAAACCAACACATGATACATAGGCCCTCCCTTCCTACGGGAGGGAATCCTCCAGGTCACACTGGATCACCACTTTCACCAAAAGCCACACTGACTTTCAGCCTTCTGTAACTTGATTGTTTTCTTTGTCAGGAACATTCCGTGATGTCACATCAGCTTAGTGAAAGGCAGGCAGGTGACAGCGACATCACCCCTTGCTTTCAAATACAGCCCACTCTTTCTATGAATCACACACACACAAATCGCCATTGAATATCAGCTTGGAGACACCAACCTTACATGGCGAGCTTCACCTTGTCCGCACAGAGCAGGAACTGCTGGACGTGTTCACTGCAGTTGGCCACAGAAGCCTGGTTTAGCTTAAGGCACTGTTCAAATGCAATGAACGGTTCAGCACAATCGTGGCGAATCTTCTGCACGATCGGGCTGCAATGAAAACCACACAGGTGTCTAAGTGGTTAAAATCTAGGTGGCTTGGGGAAATGTTGCAAAGATCTGTAATGTTTAAACCAGAAATATATTTGTTAGGCATTGTCCCTGATGATCTCCATAAACAAAGTCTATATTTGACTTTGCATGTAATACCAGCAGCAAAGATTGCATATGTGCAGTGTTGGAGAAATGAAGAGTTACTGGCTGAAGATTTGATCTTGAACAAGATATTGGACTGTGCAGAAATGGATAGACTGACTTTAGCTCTTAAGGAAAAAGAAGATACAGTTTACTACCAAACATGAGACTTTTTCTATCAATGGTAACAGAATCGGAACTGTAATATGGGCTAAAATACATAGCATTTGTAGAGAAATAAGACTTTGTACACAGTATGTTTGAAGTCTCCAAAATAATTAATTTGTTTAGTGAGTAGAAAACAATAAAACTTTAGAACCAAAAAAAAAAAAAAAAATCTGGCCAGACAAGAATGATGCGAGAGATGCTTCCAGTGGTGGTATGGAAACTTTTCCTGACAAGCTACTTCACTGTAGTGGCTCAAAGTGTGAGCCAGGATCTGTCCCACTCAAATCTTACTACAGGCATGAATTCAGCACTTAGGCAGGTTACTAGCTCTGTCTTATCCCCCATATCTGGTCAGGGTGATCACATTCAGCTACTTTAAAGATGAGGATTCTTGAGATAATGAAGGTGAGGTGCTTTAAACAATGGAACTTACCCTATAAATGTTAAGTATTACCATAAAAACAACTTCAGAATCAAATCTATGCCCCACCTGAATCCTTCCTTTGGTTCTTGTCATGCATTCTGTCCACTTACTCCTGTCCCTTGACAAGTTCCCCCAATTCTCAGCATGGACTCCCCTGAGCCTATAAACCTCTCCCGGCTTTCTTTCCAGCTCAACTCCACTGGTTTTGTTTATTTTTTGGATGACACCTCTGCCTTTCTTGTAATTTAGAAGTGCTCCGCTCACCAAGAGATGGTATGTCCTTTCTAGAAGGCTGGCAAACAAAGGCATCTGTCTTTCTCATTTCATGATCATTTCATAAACAAACATTTCTATCAGTCAAAAGACTCATACAGCAGCTTATCAGAATTAATAATTGGACAGTCCCTGCTTTTAGGTTCACAATTTAAAAAGAAATGACACACAAGGAAAAAGATTTGGTGGTAGCGGTGGAACATGAAGGCGATGTGTTGTTTGGATGGGTGGGATTGTAACAATTGAACTAAGGGATGCATCACACCTATTGTGCTTTAGGGCAGGTGTGCTCTTTGCTTTCTTCTTTCCATTCTCCTACTCTGGAGCTTCTGTCCTTCTGAATTCAAGCCTAATCAGTTCTTCTCCAACCCCCATGGGGGATGTGGAAGCCCAAGAACCAATGATAACAGAAAAGTATTTTCATCCTGCTTTCTCTAGCTGTTGGGAAAATCCAGGACAATAGACCTTCTGCAGGCTCAGGACTAATTTATATAGGACACAGACCACAGTGAAAGGCCTGGCTAGCATATGCTTTCTACCTGTGCTTGGTCACACTTCCTTCACACACTGTTCTATTCACCTAGCAAGCCAGTAGTGCACAGCGACTCAAGCCACTGATTGAGTGTACATCGTCAACACAAAGATGTGTTAAAGATGTAAGCTTATGCATAGGTAAACATGCACATGCCAGCTGGTAAATGCTGGAAGTTGTAGAATGTTTTCCCAATCTAAAAATGCATAGTATTGCACCCTAAATCCATTTAGACATGACCAGATGCATGTTGAAGGGGAGAGTGAATCAACTCACCTTGGCAAGGGTTTTCGCATACTCCATGTCCAGTATAAAGTTAGCTGTACATGGGTTTCCTAAAATTTATCAAAGTTTCTCCCACATGGAAGCATTTGGTCTTTGCCAAATGGCATTCTCCCTGAGAAACTTACTGGGAAGATGTGCACTTGGCCATGTCAAGTTTGAGCTGGTGACAGTCCTGATGCCAAGAGGAAGGGTTGGCAGCAACGCATTGGCCATACTGCTCTGCTTCTTTGCGGCAATGCCGTGCAGTCACTTCCAACGCTGCCTGCCTGTTGGGATGGAGACAGGAGCATCAGGTTTGTCCAGATTAATGCTAAATGGAATTCCAGGAAAAAACAGCGTGATTTAAAAAAAAAAAAAAAAAAGCTTATAATTTATTAAAATCCCCTAATTCCCTTCCAAGTACCCATACATCACACTCTGTCCTACATCAACCATTAAAGGTCAATGTAAGTAATCATAAAGCAACATGTATTAGGACAAAAAAGAATCATAGCTTCAGTTACAAGCAGATAGGATCTGAGCTGGCAGTGACTGACCAAAAAAGATGTTGGGGCTGTGGTGGACAGCTTGATGAAAAGGTCAACCCAATGTGCAGCAGCTGTGAAAAAGATAAAGAGTGTCGTGCAAATTTAGGAAAGGAATTGGAATTAAAACTGCTAAAGGCTGCCACAAAGGAGGAGGACAGATCTCTTATCAATCAACCCTGAGTGGAGGACATGGAATAATGGGTGCAAGTTACAGAAATCTAGATTCTGGTTAGATATTAGGAAAAATGTCCTGACGGTTCAAGCAGTACAATGCAACCAATTACCTAGGGAAGTTGTGGGCTTTCCAACAATAAAGGCATTCAAGATGCATCCGGGTGGCCAACTGAGAGGGATGGTTTATCTCCTGCACTGAGCAGGGGGTTGGCCCCGATGGCCCTTTGGCCCCTTCCAACTCTACTATTCTGTGATGGTGTGACCACACTTAGAATACCATGTACAATTCTGGTCACTACCCCTAAAGATACTGGACAGTTGTCAAAAGGGCAACTAAACTATTAAAGACACAGAACATTTCCCCTGTAAGGTCTGATTACAACTGGGATTGTAAACCTTCAGAAAAAGGCAAGTAAGGGAAGACATGATATAGGTGTATAGAATTATGTGGATAAAGAGGATTTTTTTTTCTCCCTGTCACATATCACTATAACCTGAGGTCATCCAATAAAACTGCCTGCTGGGAGATTCAAGACAGATAATAGGAAGGACTTCTTCACACATAGCATAGTTCAACTACGGAAGTCACTTTCATGAGATGTAGTGATGACCACCAATTTGGAGGATTTTAAAAGGTGACTGGGCAAATTCATGGAGAAAAAGGCTAACCGTGGCTACTAGTCCTGATGGTTCCATAATACCTCCAATACCAGAGACAGTATGCCCATGTACACAAGTTGCTGGGGAACATGGGCAGGAGGGTGCTGTTACACTGAGGTCCTGCTTGTGGGTTTCCCATGGGAAGCTGGTCAGCCACTGTGGGAACAGAATGCTGGACTACATGGACCTTGCTCTGAGGCACACAACACATATTCCAAACATTGGTTTCATTAGTGTTTGCCATATCCTTGGAATATACACACACAGAATGGAACAAATCGGAAAAAACTATTTTTGCTTATACTCCTTGCAACTGGTAACCATTCACGATCCCAATGAGTTTTAGCACTACAAGAATGTAGTCCTTGGAAGACAAATCTAGAACAGCCTTCCAGTCTGGAGGGCTGCATGTGTTTTTAATTTCAGCTTCCAAAACCTCTGGCCGTTGGAGATGCTATATGCAACCTCGCTCAGAGTGCACAATTTGTGACCATTCAAATTGTTGGAGTACAACTCCCAGCAGCCTGCACTAGCACGGCCAACAGTGAGGGATTATGGGAGCTGTAGTCCAATAAGTATAAAGACCGTAAGTTGCCCATTCTCCTCTCTCAATTCAGAGGCAAGATGCCTCCAAATTCCTAATCGCGGGTGCCAACCGTTAGAAAAGGTTCTTACTGTTCTCATGTCCTACACTGGCGGAGGATTAATGTTCTGATCTTTCACGGTTCTTATTATGGTTTGATTTAAAAGTAGATCTTTCTACTGAGACAGCTTCAAATTAAGAAAGGTCCAGAGACAACACTCCCTCCCCTCACTCAAGAAAAACAAGAGGGTGCCGAGAAGGGCTTGAGAGACCCACACTCACATGCTGCTTCTGCGGCGTGAAGGACTACCTCAGCTTCCTCCTTTCCCAAGCACGCATGCTCTCTCCCTCTTCTGCGCATGCTCGAGCGAAGATCCTGAGCGATTCCGTTCCTCCTTCCAGTCCCAGCAGCCATGACAGCAGAGGAGGAGAGCATGCTTGGGCGCGTGCGCAAAGAAATTGCGCCGTCGCTTCCCTGAAAGACACGTGGATCGCTACCTCTCGCGAACGTGAGCGTTGGTTTCAGGGTCACGGCGGCGCAGTTGAGCATGCGCACTTTAGAGACAAGGGCAGTGAGCATGCGTGGTCGGACTGCGGCGGGAGCGTCCTGCCCCGGAAGTGGAAGGAGTTGGCGGGTGGCGGTCCCCGGAAGCAGGATGGCGGCAGCGGCAGCCGGTCCCGGACCGGGTCTGGCAGACGAGCTGGTGCAGGACGTGATTCCGTACCGGCGGCGGTCGCGGCTGTTATGGGGGACGGTGCTGCCCTTCTGCGTGCTGTATCCGCTCTGGTTGTGGTTCTGGGGACCCTGTGCCTGCGCCTGGGTTTTGAGGAGAGCCAGCGGTACCGCCGAGACGCCCGAAGCCGCGCTGCTCTTCCTTGCCGCCGTCGGAGCTGTGCACCTGCTTACCGCCTTGGCCGGCCTGTGGAGCGTCAACGTCCACTGCTTACTCTACTGCTGTTGGGTCAGTTCCGCTCCGAGGGGGAAGGGAGAAAGGTCACGCTCGGGCCAGTGGAGGAAATGACTGGAGGAGTCTCTATCTTACTGATGCAGCTCCTGTACTTTTGGAGCAGCCGTGGAGTCTTAGGAGCAAATGGGTACTAGCCAGTGCTAGCCCTGCAGAGTCTATTAACATTGATTGAGGTTCGAGTTAGTCTTGGCTAAATTTTTATTTCAATTGGTCTGCTTAGTGTAGAACTAGTACAGGATGGTACCCTACGTTTCTCTGTTGCAGCTGTCACTAACGGTGTGTGTAAGGAATATTCTCAGTAGCTAAACAAATGGATCCTGAGCAACAAGTGACAGTTTGGAAAAAGGATGGCAATGTTCATGTGTTGCTGCCAGCCCTTTCCCAATTTCTTTTATATTGGATTTCGTGCTTACAAGTGAAGTAAAGGAAGTCTGCATTTGTTTATGGACTTCTTAACTTTCTGTTGAATCCTAACACTGTAACCAAATGCTTGGAGAATGAACCCCGCCATGACCATGATATGAAGTGTTACAAGGCTAGGAACACTGTAAATATTCATAAAGGTTCTAGATCATTAAGAAATTTGGGAATTAAGAATTTTCTGTTGTGTGTATTAAGCTTTATTGGGGAAAGATAGCAACAAAAACATAGGTGGCCTGTTAGTGTGCCAGGTTCATGTGTTCAGCCACATTTCACTTTGCCACAAAGATTAATCTTTCATGTCCTGTCTGTAGATCTTGGATACAGATGATACAGTTAGTGGATCTCTTATTTTAAAAATGCCATTTTGTTTATAAAAATGATTCATATTTCACATCATTGAAAGGATGTAGTAGAACATGTGTTACTTATCAGCACAGGACTGGCTTGAATGTAAGAATACAGGAAAGATATTTGGTATAGAATGTAGTTTGTGGGAAGAGAAGCATATGGGTAAACCTGGTTGTAACTCAATCTGATCACTGAATAAATTGTTCTAAGGAGTCATTGTGATGAGTGGGTGAGGATGTAACTGAGTGATAGAACATATGTTTGGCATGCAGAAGATCCCATGTACAATCCCTGGCTTAGGATTAGGAAGGAATCCTTGAAACTTTGGAGATCTGCTGCCAATCAGGGATGATAGCACGGGGTTGGATGGACCAGCACCCTGGTTCATTGTAAGGCAAGTTTCTACATTCCTAACTTTCTACCATAAAAACACTGTACACAAGTGAAATAAGCTGGTCAGCATTCCACATGATAGCATATGGAATGTCGTTGTTCAGTTGCCAAATCATGTCTGACTCTTCACAACCCCATGGACAACATTCCTCCAGGTTCTCCTATCCTCCACCATCTCCCGGAGTCCACCCAACCCCACACCCACCTCCCTAGTGACCCCATCCAGCCCCCCTCAACCTCTGCCATCCTCTTTCCTTTTTCCTTCAATTGTTCCCAGTATTAGGGTCTTTTCCAATGAGTCCTTCCTTCTCATTAGGTGGCCAGAGCAAATGCATACATGTAAATGCCCTACACTAAACTTTGATTGATGTACCCTGCAGTCATATAGAGCTCAGCATGTCTTCCTTATTCCTAAACTTTCAGTATAGTAAGCATGCTGTCAGGTTCAGTCCACAAGATAAACAATATGTTTTTCTCCACTAATTGTTGTATCTAGACATCACTGACGATCACACTTTTGTAAGATCAATGTTTACATTCTTAACTATTTTTGCCATACAGGGAAGCAGAAAAGTAAATAGGTAATGATCCCCTGTGGACATTCTGTTGCCCCCAGTTTATAATGAAAGAATTGTACCAGTCAATGAAAGCTAATATAGAGAATATATCTCAGAGATCTTCACTGGTCCCTTTCTGTTGCTGAACATGATCGACTGAAAAGTGCATTCCTTGCTGACTTAAGATTTTTTCCATTTTTCTTTTGCCTTAAACATTTTCCTTGGAATTATTTATAGTCTATGTGGAAATGCCATATTAAGATATTATTTCCCAGATGTTCATACCTGGAGCACAGGAATTTTTCCCCTCCAGATTGAAACTGGAATCATGCCTCACTTATACACTAAAACAACAATTTATATTTACTAGAACAATGGTCAGGCATCCTCTTTGCAACTACAGAGTAGCCCAGTCACTTGGCCCTCCGGGGTTTGTGTCTTTTATTTTAAATCCAGCCAATAACAAAATTCGCCCTCCCTCTTTTCCAGTGAGTGAGTAATAAGATCTGCTTTCTGGGCAGTCATACTCACACATGTAACCTAAATCCACAGAAATTACTAGCCTACAAGAGGTCTTAACTAGCCTTCCAGTGTTGATGGAGGGGAAGGAGACAGCACAGGAATGTATGATAGTAGCCTCTTCATGTGCTAGTTTATTAAATTGCATTCTGCCATACAGACTGCTAAAGGAGAAATGGATCATTTCCATGAAGAAAGACTTTCCCTTCTCTGTATCTAAGCAAAGAAATTGAGCAGACTAGTGAAATTGTCTGTATGGAATTCCTAGTTGCCTCTAGCTACAAGGTGAGCTGTTAAATACAGAGTTTATGGTTTTTCTGGGATTTCCCAGTGTCTCTCAGCTGTAGAGCAAGACATAGGAGGGACTCCTTTCCTGAGAGTGCGATTCTGTGTTTTTATTGATAAAGAGAGGGCTGATCAGTGTTATTGCTTGAGACTTCCTTGCTCTGAAAATCTCAGAGTGATGGATGCATCCAGCAATAGTTCCTTTCATTTCTCTTTTGTTAAACTCCCACTTGTGCTGGGAAAGCGAAACTAAACATGCTTCCTGACTGCTTATTGTTTTGTTTGGCTGTCAAAGCTTTGCTGCATGAATGGTGATCTAGTGAACTTTGCTCAGCAAAGGCCCAGAACATAGCTTTGCATGGGGCATGATGCCAGTTATACCTTCCCAAAGGCTTGAAAGGCCTTTGCTGTGGTACCTTGGCTCACTCGTGGCCATTTCACCCCCAGAATGATCGCAGCCATCTTCCCTGCACGAATGCAACCACAATTGTGGCCATAGGCGATCACAGGCATGCTCGGGGGGGGGGGGGACATGATTGCCCCCACCCCCCCCCCCCCCAGCACACCCGTGATCGTCACCTGTTTACACAAAACCCAAGCACCACTGTGCTTGGTGGTCTTATTTCCACATGAGAATAGGTAATAGGATGAAGAGCATAATTGTCCAGGATGCCAAGCTCTGGAGAAGGGTGTGTGGCATGGTCTGATGAAATCCAGCGTATAACTCTCCTGAAAGTTGTGCTATGTTGGTCATTTTTGTTGGCCAGGATAGAGGTATACAGGCACTTTGTAGTTATTCTTTTCTGTAGCTGATATAAATTTTTAGATTTCCTTCAGTTGCAAACAACAGAGAGCTGTGATTTATATCCTAAGCCATGTGGTTGGAAGGTTGCTTACAGGTGGCTGTGGGCAAATGTTAACACTGCAGAGGCGCTCAAAGCAGTGTGCCATAGGAATGAAACCATTCAAACAACTTCAGCTCAGCTGCCCCGGGGTTATTGGCCCCCTTGGCTAGGGCTGAGGAGAGTTGTGGTCCAAAACATTTGGAAAGCTCCAAGTCAGGGATCGCTAGACTAGGTAATGGACATTTTCCATCATCATTGCTATTATCTTTTAAAAATAAATCTTTTGTTTATTATGTGCTAATTTTCACATACTTTCAGCTGCCATTGTCAGGCAGAAAGATGGGCTATAACTAAAGAATATTTTAAATGTTCTGTTATGGATATGAAAGTCATGCGTATTTACCATGTATGGTTCCACAAATCTTCACTACATATGATTCACAAGGTTGAATGGCATCCTGAAACCTACTATATCATCAAAATCCATAAGAACATGAATTTAAACAAAAAACTTCAGCATTATAAAAATAAACTATATGGCATCAAAAGAAAAACATAATAAACCCCATGGAGTCAAGTATAACCTTAGCTGGGGAAACAATTCAATTTGCACTGAAGACTCATTGGAATAAAACTTTCTAATGACCAACTTCTTACCAGTTAGCAGGAAGAAACAAAGCCAGGTTCCACAAGAAGGCTCAGTCCCCCATGCCTATTGACCATGGATGATAGACCAGATCCTTGTCCAAAGATGTCTAGAACTGAGTAGGATCACATGCAGGAGTGGGTGATCCTTTAAACCATTTGCAACTTTGGATTGGGTTTGGAAACAAGCTGGTCAAATAATAATGAGATAGAATTGTCTGAGTATCAGTGTTTGAATACATTCCTCTAACAATGGTCTAGACTAATTAATTATACAGCCATGGCATTAGATAACCTATTGGGTTGCCCTCGTCCAGCTTACCAATTAATGTGGTTGTAGTTGTATAGTAGGAGTGGCCTGAGATATTTATTTATTTAAAACATTTCTATGCTGCCCCCATCGCAACAAAGCCTCGGGGCGGCTCACAGCATAATTAATAATTAAAACATATAAATAACGATTAATACAATTAGAGATTAGAGAATAAATAACAAATATTTGAAAACAGTGCTTGTGGCAAAAATAAATATTCTCTTCTCCATCAATGATGTGTTGCTTGAAATTACTGTGTTTAATGTGCTATTAAAGTCTTTTGCCTACATTTAGCTCCCATTTCTAGCATCTTGTTGTTAGTCGCGAAGTCGAAGTTACCCCATGGACAACATTCCTCCAGGCCTTCCTGTCCTCCATCATCCCTCAGAGTTCACTTAAGCTCATGCTCACTGCTTCAGTGACTCCATCTAGCTACCTCATTCTCTGCCTTCCCCTTCTTCTTTTGCCATCTATTGTTCCCAGCATTAGGCTCTTCTCCAGTGAGTCCTTCCTTCTCATTAGGTGACCAGAGTATTTGAGTTTCATCTTCACTATCTGGCCTTCTAAAGAGCAGTCAGGGTTGATCTCCTCTAGGACTGACCGGTTTGATTACCTTGTGGTCCAAGGGACTCGCAGGAGTATCCTCCAGCTCCACAATTCAAAGGCCTCAATTCTTTGGTGCTCAGCCTTCCTTATGGTCCAACTTTCACAGCCATACATTGCAACTGGGAAAACCATAGCCTTGACTATACGCACTTTTGTTGGCAGGGTGATGACTCTGCTTTTTAGTATGCTGTCAAGATTTACCATAGCCTTCCTCCCAAGGAGCAAACGTCTTTTAATTTCTTGGCTGCAGTCCCTGTCTGCGGTGATCTTGGAGCCCAGGAAAATAGAATCTGTCACTACCTCCATTTCTTCCCCATCTATTTGCCAGAAAGTGAGAGGACCAGATGCCATGATCTTAGTTTTCTTAATGTTGAGTTTCAAGCCAGCTTTTGCACTCTCCTTCTTCACCCACTCTTTAGTTCCTCTTCACTTTCTGCCATGAGAGTGGTATCATCTGCATATCTGAGGTTGTTGATATTTCTCCTAGCAATCTTAATTCCAACTTGTGATTCATCTAGCCCTGCCTTTCTCATGATGTGCTCTGCATATAAGTTTAAATAGGCAGGGTGATAGTATACAGCCTTGCCGAACTCCTTTCCCAATTTTGAACCAATCATTGGTTCCGTGTCCAGTTCTCACTGTTGCTTCTTGACCCACATACAGGTTTCTCAAGAGACTAATAAGACGTTCTGGTACTCCCATCTCTTTAAGAACTTGCCACAATTTGATCCACACAATCAAAGGCTTTCGTGTAGTCAATGAAGCAAAAGTAGATGTTTTTCTGGCACTCCCTAGCTTTCTGCATGATCCAGCATATGTTGGCGATTTGATCTCTAGTTCCTCTGCCTCTTCAAAATCCTGCCTGCACTTCTGGCAGTTTTCGGTCCACATACTGCTGGAGCCTAGCCTGTAGGATTTTGAGCATCACTTTGCTAGCATGTGAAATGAGTGCAATAGTGTGGTAGTTTGAACATTCTTTGGCACTGCCCTTCTTTGAGATCAGAATGTAAACTGACAATTGATTGCAAAAGAAGGGGACAGCAGAGGATGAGGTGGCTAGATGGAGTCACTGAAGCAGTCGGTGTGAGCTTAGGTGGACTCCTGAAGATAGTGGAGGACAGGAGAGCATAGAGGAATGTTGTCCATGGGGTAGTGATGGGTCAGATGCAACTTCGCTAAACAACAACAACAACAAGCAAAAAAGCCCTGCAGGTATCATTTCCAAAAGGACTTGTACAGTTGGGAGTAACATAGGGGCAAAGTACTTGTTTATTTAACCTTGTCTGTTGGTGTTGTAATGAACCCAGCTAGAGGTCAATGAATCCTAGGTAAAACACTTGTTTTTCATGTAGAAAGTCCAACATTTGATCCCCAGTATTTCCAGGTTGGGCTGGAAAAATTCCTTTTTGAAATCCTGGAGAGCTGTGGCTAGCCAGTGTCAACAGTGCTGAACTAGATGGATGCAGAGTCTAACTCCGCATAAGTCTAACTACTTTCATATGAAAGTGGGGAAGCAGTTAACAGTGGGTTAAACAGCTGACTGTTTAGGTGTTTTATTGTTGTAGTTGAGGGAGGGGGTGTTCACGCAAGACCCAGTACATTTGATACAGATGATGGGTAAGTCCTACAACTCCAAGGTGCTACTCTCAAACACTTCCCCCTTTGGGGCATTGCTTCTGCTAAATATTACTTTGCTTGGTCAAAACTCTAAAGGCTGTTTTCCCAATTGTGTATGTCTTTCAGGTGCGCAGTCCCAGGAAAGCCACACTGGCTAAAGTTGTGCCCACACCAAATAACGGTTCTGCAGAACTGGTGCCTCTCCACAGAGATCAGGTAAGAAAGATTTTCATTCAAACAGTGATCAGCTACCCCTGCATAGATTAGCAACATCTAATGTTCTATTTCAGTTTGTCAGCCAAGATGGCATTTTGGCAGTAGGACACATTGAGGTAGATGGATGACCACAGAAATATAGACTTCATAGCCAAAACAAATTAAGAGGCTTGTGGATGATGACCATGGTGACAAGGCACAATTCCAGAGAATCCTGAGTTGCTGTTTACAGCCTGTGTACTAGTGCATGCTGCACAACCGCTCCTGATTTGTATCTTCTGCAAGCAGGAGTGGCTGAACCAGTCATAGACTCCCTGCCTGTGGTTTATCACAATGTTTGAGCCAGATTCTGGCTTTCCTCTCCCCAGACAAGCCAGCCATAAGCATCAACAAGCTCTTGTTCCAGAGAACTGGTTTTTTTTCAGGACAGCAAAAAGTCTCCAAAATCGCAGGCACCCCTTCAGACATGATGGTGTGTGTGAAATATGCTCTTGGATGAGGACGTTTAATTTCTGCATTTCTTCTAGGGGGAGGATGGACAGGAGATCCTTTCCTTTGAATTTCAGAAAATCAAATATTTCTGTGAGCTGGATGAGAAGAAAAAATTCCTTCCTGTGGCCTTCCCTGTGGAGCAGCCACTACAATATTATCAGAATGCTCGTGGCTACCAGGAAGACAAAGAGATCAAAGTGGCAGAAAAGAAATACGGCACCAACAAGTAGGTGGACCAGGTGGCTGGTGGGCCACATTAATGACAAATGTCTCCAGGAATGGCAGACCTCCAACATTTAGCTGCTGAATACTTGTACCTGGGGTTTATTAGCTTACAAATATTAATTGGCAGGATTGGCAATCTAGCATTTTACTAACATGCTACCATTTTAAGAACATCTTTGAGATAAATAGCAAAAAGAGTAATTAACCAAATATGGTACTTAGTGTCCATGGACTGTGTTCAGGATAGCCTAGCCACCTGTGGAAATAAGGCATCATTGGGTTATAGGAAGAATTGCATGGAAGTTTTTCTTTTTCCTGGGTAATGCTTGTGGCAGTTGGTGGTTACCTTGGTTTTTCTTGCACAGCTGAATAGTTTTATTCTACTATAGCTACCAGGCATGGACTAGCATGCATCCAGTAGGGTTTTGCTTCTAAAAAGGCATGCATAGAAGGAGGATGTAAACCAAAAGCAGGTAACTCCCCCCTCCCTTTTGGCCTCTAATCATATTTTACCACTGGCAGTTCTGACTGGAGCTGATGAGTGTTATAAGCCAAAAACATCTGGAGGGCCACAGGTTGCTCAGCCCTAATATAAACCTGCAGGCCTCTTTGTTGAAAGTGAATAGAGGCCACCAGAAGTTGGTGGCTCATAGCTCAGCATTACTTCAGATATGGCAACTGTTGCTGATGCTGCCTTTCCATGGATCATAGTCATGGAAGTTGAAAACCCAAGGGGAGTATCTAGAAATTCCCACCCTATTAGATCTATCCCAGTGCCCCACACTGAAAAAAGCAGTGTCTCTCCCCATACATAGAATAAAAAGGGAGGATTGTAGTCCAAATTGCTCCTCATGTTTTAAAAGAAGGCTACCACCCACATTCAAGCACTGTCCATAGGTTTGTCTGTCTACCTCTTTTGCACTGAAGGGCTCAGTGGTGAGGATGCTCTCCCTGGGACAGAGCCAGCCAGTAGGAGAAACTTTACTCTCTAACCCCTGTCCTCTGCCCACCATTCAGACACATTTCTGTCTGCCACCTAGAGGGATTCTGGGCAGTTAAAGTTCCAGACAAAACAGATCATGCTATACCAACCTTCCCCAACCTGGCACCTTCCAGATGTTTTGGACTTCAGCACCCAGCTTAACCAACAGTCAGGACTTCCAGGACCTGTAGTCTAAAAAAAATCTGGAAGGCAACAAGTTGAGGAAGAATGGGCTATACACTTTACATGGCTTCTCCTTTCAATCTAATACTGCTGTTCCTCTCTGTGTACCTTGTGTTCCCCTTCAGCTCATTTCTCTTTCAGTGCATTCATAGGAGTTGGGCTGGTGGCGAATGTTATTCACTGTCCCCTCCTTCCATCCACCTTCTCATGATTTGGGGACTGGAAACAAAGCCCTGTGAAGAAAGATTGAAAGAACTGGGCATGCTGAGCTTTAAGAAAAGACGACTAAGGGGGAAATATGATAGCAGTTTCCAAATACTTGAAAGGCTTTCACACTGAGGAGGGCCTGAATCTCTTCTCAATCATTCCAGAGTGCAGGGCACAGAATAATGGGTTCAAGTTACAGGAAGGCAGATTCCAGCTGCACATCAGGAAGAACTGCCTGATTGTTAGAACGGTATGACAATGGAATCAATTACCTGGTGAGGTGGTGGGCTCTCCCATACTAGAGGCATTCAAGATGCAACTGGACAGCTATCTGAGAGGGATGGTCCTGCACTGAGCAGGGGGTTGGACTCGATGGCCCTTGCAGCTCTACTGTTCTGTGATTCATTTTTAAAGGTCTGCTGTGTTGAGGCAACTTTTTCTTTCTGCAAAGTCCAGGCCTAGATCCAGTTCAGACAGATCCAGAAAGATAGAGGAGTCTTCCATTACCCAGCTCTCTAGCACTCACCTGAAAACCGCAACTGTTTTGTCTTGCTATAAAGGCCTGCCAGGATTTGGAGGTCTGTCACATAACAGCAGTGGAGCTTTCAGGAAATGTGGGAGAGACAATGAAAACTAAGCTCAATAGCTGTAGCCTTGCTAGTTACAAGATAGTGATGTCATAATGTCTTCCAGTAAAGGAGGCTTTTCAGCCACTTTACAGTACCTTTTCAAGAAAATTTTAGTGACTACAATGATGATCTTTCTCTTGTTATTGGCTGTGTAATCAGTGCGTGGGCCTATGGCCTGTTTGGAGTTATAGGGAAAGAAAAGCCTCCAGCGTGGCTCCTCTAATTTTGTGGAATTCCCTGCCTTTGGAAGAAAGCAGGCAACTATTGTGTTGTTTCTGACCCTTCCTAGAAGCATCTTTATTTCAGGAGGCCTTTCTTGGATGAGCAGGCACTGCTTTCATTGATATTCTGTTTACTGTCAAGGGGTTGAAGTAACTGAGGAAAGGTTACAACAACTGAGATTCTTTTGATTGGAAAAAAGGGGGAATAAAAGGAGACGTGACATGCATGTACAGATTACGCATGGTGTGCACAAAGTGGAGAGGGAGACATTTCTCTCCCTTTCCCATTATAATAGAAGATAATATATTCTAGTCATGAAGATGACTAGCGGGGAACTCAGGACAGACAGAAGGAAGTATTTCTTCATGCAGCACATAAACTACAGAATTCATTTCCGTAAGATGAAGTGATGGCTTTGGATGGCTTTAAAGGGGGCTGCAAAAATGCATGGAGGAGAAGGCTATCAGTGGTTGCTGGTCCTGATGGCTGTATGTCACCTCCAGTAGCAAAGGTAGAATGCCTATGTGTATCAGTTGCTGAGGAACTTGGGCAGGATGGCACTGTTGCCCTCATGTCTTCCTTCTGGGAACCCATGGGTAGCCAGTTGGCCCCATGGGAACATAGTGCTGAACAAGATGGACCCTTGTTCTGATCCAACAGAGCCCTTCTTTTGTTCTTGTTATAGGGTCCTGCATTGTTTGTCTTTTTTTTTTAACTTTTATTATGTTTTAAATTGCTGGACAGTGACGGCTTTTTAGCGCATAAGGTAGTATATAAAAGCAGTTCCTGCATTACAAATTAAAGCCTATTTGTAAATTAAATTAAATTAAAATCATCATTACCAGAGAGAGAGCGAGAGAGAGGAAGTGAGAGAGGAAGTGAGAGGGAAGAAGGGAGGCCTCCAAAGCACAAAACTCATTTGTAACCTGGGGACTGCCTGTAAATATTAATAAAGAATGTAGCTATGGGAGTGGATCATGAAATCTGAGGTTTAGGAACAATCCCCATTAGACAATGTTTGTCCAGTATTGAGAAGGCCTTTATTTGAAGGACAGCTATCCTACTAAATATTCTCACATAGGGAAAGACTTAGGACCTGAGGGGTTGCAGCCAGGATGCCGGATGGCTCAGCAGAACGTGAGTGCCCAAATGAACAAGTGTTCTGCTTTTCACACAGGGCAGAGATGGTTGTTCCAGAATTCCTTGAACTTTTCAAAGAGAGAGCAACAGCTCCTTTCTTCGTCTTTCAGGTAATTAAAAAGTATGTGAAGATGCAAGGCCAACCAGGTGTCTCCGTTTTCTTAAATGCACATATTGGATTGCAGTTTCTGTCTACAGATATCTATTGCCTTCTAGTGTGTTGTGAATTGCAGGCGTTTACCTTATGCCAGGGCTGAACATTTTTTTTCTGTTGAGGTCTCCGTTTCCTTGCATGTAATTTGTCAGGGTCTACTGGCCTCAGCTCTTGTGAGTGGGCCTGAAGCCGGAATTGAACTAGACCAGAACCAAAGGTAGATCTTCCACTATTTTCACCTTCTCTGTTCCTTTCTGTCCAGCAGTCTGCCAAGGAAGGGACAGAATGCTGTTGCCAAATGCCTGAACATTTGCATGGAGAGGGTGTTTGTAAATAGGACTGCATGAAATTAGACTGAGGTCTGTATGCAACCTTAGGCCCACATGTTGCATACCCCTTCCTTATGCAGTTAGCAGCCTGTTGTGAACTTGCTGTATTTCAAAGCAGAAAAGTTTACCTTTAGATTTAGATTGTCCCAAGTTTACCTTTAGATTGAAGCACAGGAGAACAAGCTTGGAGTTCTGGCTTGCATTGTTGAAGTTCATACTTTATCTGGACAAAATCCCATTGCAAGGATCCTGTGAATAAATGGAGGTTACTTATTGACCACATTCAGATATTAACAAGCTAGATTCCAGAAACAGATTGACTTAATATTGACTACCAACAATGCATCTGGTGCATCTCAAAATTGTATCATGGAAGAAGTGCAAAGACACACTTCGTACACAGTTGGACAGGCCATTGTGTTAAGTGTTTATCTCAATAAATTCTAACTTGGTCATTTGGAGTGCAACATTCACTATGTTCACATTCTTTATAAGGATCCTTTTATTTTCTTTTAAACTAAAGGCCTTTGTTATTTTTGGTTCACCATGTCCCTTGCTGGTTTTGATGCCTTCTTTTGTTTATAGGCCTTCTGTTTCATGTGTTTGCTCCACATACACTTGGTGGTAAGGGGGCATGTAAAGAAAGGGAAAAAGTGTTGCAGGAGAAATGCAAGTGATAGGGACTGTAGAAAGAAATGAAACAATTAATCTGGCCCTCCAGATCACACATAAACACCAAGATATTTTCGTAGCTAGGTAACCAGTGCAGTGCAAGGAAGACCACTATGACTAGGTAGACCAGCAAAAATGATCAACACCCAGAGTGTTGTGCCCTTCATGGATTGACATCAAATGATGACTTTCATGTCCTTTACTCTTAACATCTTCTGTAAATGGGGCAGCAAAAGTAAAAACAGACTGTAAAATAGCATACTGCTTGTTGGCCCAAATTGTACTCTATAAGGCAAGGAAGCAAAAAATAGATCTCTGGATATTTTAGACTTCAACACCCAGCTTTCCTAACCATTGCTTAAGCTGTCAGGGACTTCTGGGAGTTGAAATCCAAAGCATCTAGAAATCTGCCTTTTGTCTACCCCTGCCCAAAGGCATGTTTTGTCTCTAGTTTTAAGCAATTTTTTTTCCTTGTTGGGAGTATTGCACTTTGAATTTGTTGTGTAGTTAGGACTTTTTAAAAACAAAATTAACAGTGCATTTTGATAATGAAGGCTTGCACATGTTTAGGCCACCACAAATCTAACAAATCATTTCCAGTTCAGTCCTTTCCTGTGGAGTCAAATTACGTTGCCACTAATGGAATGCAGAGGAATCGTACAAAGGTGATCTGCATGAACAAGCCAGCTCCCATTGCATTTCAGTATTTATTAAAGAAGGTAGTGCTTGAAGTCCCCTCCCCACTTTTGGTACCCCTTTCTGTTCACAGAAATAGAAGCTTGGCAATCTGAGACCAAAAAGGAACATGAGGTTCTAAGTGTATTCAGAAATGCGAGGCTAGATAATGTCCAAAGATATTAGGAATAGGGACATGAAATAGCAGGTCCATTTTTTTTAAAGTTGCCAAAACTACAGTCTCATGTTATTTGCTTTCATGGAATTTAGTGTATTTTTACTTAAAATGGGTTTAGGCCATTCTTTGGGGTAAAACCTTCTTCAAGCAATGTGCAAAATGAAAATAGAAAAGCGACCAATAAATATTCGATAAAAGATTATAAAAATAGATAACTCCCAAGTCTGAGACATCTGCATATTTGAAAGACAAGCCCTTCTATTGTTGATGTATCTACATGCCCAGAGATAGAACAAAGTGAATTTGACATCCTGGATTATCTTAGTTGTGTGTTGGTTGCTTTACCATTGAGCTTCTAAGATGGAAAAGCATTAAGGGGCTTTTATGTGTGACCATAAAGTGGATCTTCACTGATTGAAAACCAAGACTAATCTTTAATTCCCAGATGCTGGTTCATGTTTCTTTCCTCATTTGCATCCAGCTAAGTTTTTAAAAATTTGCAGTACATACAAAGCAAATCTAAAATCTGCTTTCATGTGCATTACACCATTCGAGCATTCCTTTAAGGTGATCCAGTATCATTTTATCCTGCTATTGCAAATGAAGGACTAAAATGAAGAGAGAAAGAGAATGGCCCACCCAGGGCTGTCTAGCTGAGTTCATGGCTAAGATTAGACCCCAACCAGAGGCTTTGCAACTCATACCTTTAGCCATTATACAGACCTTTGTTTTACGTCCACACCTCTGGGCCTCCCAAAGGAATGTACCATACCATATTTATCCTAAAGGAATTTCCTTCTCCTTCCTCCAGGTCTTCTGTGTAGGACTGTGGTGCCTGGATGAATACTGGTACTACAGCGTCTTCACACTTTTCATGCTGGTGGCTTTTGAAGCATCTCTTGTCCAGCAGCAAATGAGGAACATGTCAGAGATTCGCAAGATGGGCAACAAACCCTACATGATCCAGGTGAGTCTAGGCAGCAGACGATAAGATGGGAAGCGACACTGAGACTGGAGTGCCCCTCCACCCTGTCTGTAGTTGTTCCAGTGAGGCCTGTAGCTTCCAAAATGCGGATGGCCCTGTTGCCGGGGAAACAATGTCAGCAGAAATCTGAGCACTGTGAAGAGGGAAGAGTGAGCCAAGGCAGTTGGTAGGGAGGGAAACAGCTAGGAATAAGAGGCTAGGTTGCTGGGGTGGAGCACCTCCACCCAAGAAGGGAGGTAGAGTAGAGGACTATCTGGTCACCTGGCTCCTCATCTGCAGATCAGTGGGTATACTATTACCCATGATTCCCAAGCCCAGGCAGATTTCCTCCCTTACAGCCCACTGCCATTTCCTGTTGTCTTGCAGGATCCATCAATCTGGTGAGAATGGACAGTGCCTCTGCTAACCCCAGGAATCCTATAGTGCCCCTCAGTCGCAAGTAGTGGCCCAGCATTTCACCGGAGCATCCTGGCAATTAGTTATAGTAGTCAAGAGCTCCAGTCTGTGTTTCTGCCACCCCTCACCAAAGGCCTGTGCATGCAGTCTCCCTCCCACAGGGATAAACGCCAAGGTGTGAGGTAGGAGAAGGTCACCTCCAGCAGCTGACTGGCTTACTGCTGGCCTCTATTGGAAGCTGAATGCTGGGTTTCAGTGGAGACATCAAGCCTGCTGATCCAGCAAAACAGTTCTTCCCTTTCAGCTCTCTCCTTCAGTCCATGGTCTGACTATTTTTAGTTCTTCTGGCCAGGAGGAGACATCTCGGAATGATAAGCCCTGTCTGGAGACATTAAGGAAAGATGCTGGACAAGAAGGGATACAGGCAAGAGGGAGATGTTGTTGGGGCTTTAGAAGCTGGGGACTCTCTCTTGGGAAGTGAGCCAGAAGTCCCGAGAAGGCATTTAAGAACCTCTCCAGTGCTTTCCTTGCTCTGACATTCCTTCAGCCCAGCAGCCTGTTGCAGCTTTAATTCCCAAAGTGACACTGTGTGTTCCTCTCTGTGTGGGCTTACTATATTCACTGAGCAGCTAGTTCAGGAGTAAAATGATAGAGCCAAGAGGCATGAGAAATATCCAGCAGCAAAGATGGTAGTTGCCTTGCCCTTCTCATGCAGGGGTGAGTACAGACATCTCAACTACTGGATACCATGCAAAAGCTTAGTGAGTCATCAACTGGTCTTGTGGGGAGAAGAAATTTGCTATACTTCTGCTGCTGATCTGGGAAAATGGGAAGAGAGATAACCTTTCAGAAGGGTTTTTTTTAAACCTGTCCAAGCCTGAGTCACTGTGTAAGAACTGCACTTTTATGTAAACTTGTAACCGATCAGTGATCCCATAATTTTCATTAAAGCAGTTCTTTGAGCAGAGCTGCCACAAAAAGTCAGGATATAGGAAGTCAAACACTGGACTGCTTCTCCATCTCCCCACAACTCCCAAGATCCTAAGTGCCACCCACCCTTCTACCTTTCCCCATTGTGCAGGTTTACAGAAACCGGAAGTGGCGACCAATCTCCAGTGATGAAATAATTCCAGGGGACATTGTGTCAGTCGGTAATGGAACTTTCTCCTTTATCACATACAAGAATATATAAAATAACCTAGCTGTGCCTACTTAGGGCAATGTGCAGCTGCACCCATTCCTTGTCTTCAGACATCAGTGGAATTATCAAGCCCCAGCTTGGTTCTGGCAGGAAGGTATTTGCACTTATATTGATAACATTTGTAGACAGCTGGTTTGGATTGGAGGGTCTGGAATTGAAATCCTTTTGTATCTATGTGAAATATTTTAAGGAGTGAGGCAGTGGCAAAGGCAGGATACCTTGTGGCATCTCCTTTCTTGTTAGGTCACAGAGTGAAGGGCATGAAGCCTGCAGTGCCATGTTGGGCCACTGTGGAAGGAAACCTGAGAAAGTTCAAAGTTCCTACAAAACGGGCCACATTGGCTCTTAGTACTGTGCATGGTGGGTGGGTGTGTTTTGGGGGTGTGGGGGCTGTCCACCATATTTGCCATTGCACTGACCAGAAAGGAGGAATTGACAAGCACTTTTCCTCTTGATTTGGTCATGATTACTGGAAGCAGCTAAGGTATGGAAGCAAAGGGAAGCTTTTGAGTCCCCTTGTGACCCAGGGTACTGCACCTCTTTCAGCCCAAGGACCAAATTCAATTTTGGAGAAGGTCTTGGGAGCCACATTTCAGTGATGGGAGGGGCTGAAGGCAAAAGGTGTGGGGACAGCAGTACCTAAAACCTGCGTATTTTAGGTTAAAACTCTTCCTGCCAGCAACAAAACCTTCAGAGAAGCATTTCAACCTTTTAAAAGGGGGGAGAACTGCAAAAAAGACTCAAATCTACTGAATGATTGGCTGGGGGAAAGCACTGTGTCCATCTGGGAAGCTTGGTGGGGTGGATTAGGCTGGTGGGCTTGAGATTTAACACCCCTGCTTTACAACATCTCCCTAACTTTTAGGAGACCTTAGCAAAGGCCACATTTTCCTATAAATCCTTGTATGAGTGTTCAACCCTCTATTACAGGCCGCTCTCCCCATGAGAACCTCGTGCCCTGTGACATGCTGCTGCTGAGGGGAAGGTGCATTGTGGATGAAGCCATGTTGACCGGAGAATCAGTGCCTCAGATGAAGGTTTGCTGGGCTTGAAGATGGCAAAGAGCGGTTGTTGCAAGTGATGGCAGAAAACATTCTAGAAGGGAAGGAAGCAGAGGGGAGAAAAAGGACCAACAGCAATTCATTTACTGTGGCAAAAAGGGCAAAGCAGGCCTGGGTAACTTGTGGCCCTCCAGGTGTTGTTCGAGCACTAGAAGCTGGGACTTCAAGAGGGCCAACTTTGGCCAACTGAAAGCCAGACTGGGGAAAGTCTCCTGGGATAGGTTACTGGGAGGTAAGCGAGTTGAGGAGGGGTGGATAGCACTCAAAAGGGAGGTTTTGGAGGCGCAAGCCTTGACGATACCTCTAGTTAGTAAGGTGGGGAGGCGGCGGAGAGTTCTGCCATGGATGCGAAAGGAGGTGGTTAAATGATTAGACAAAAGAGGAACCTCCATAGGAAATGGGTACTGGGGGAAATAGACAAAAGGGTATACCGGGAGGAGGAGGCCCGTTACAGAAGGATTCTTCGCAAGTCTAAGGCTGATTACGAGCTGAGACTTGCCAAGAATAGCAAGAGCAACAAAAAGGGCTTCTTTCAGCATGTAAATAGGAAGAGGAAGGGGAGACAAGTGGTGGGACCACTAAATAAGGAGGAAGGAGATCCAGTGACTGATATGAGGGAACAGGCACAGATGCTAAATGACTATTTTGCCTCTGTGTTCTCCCCAGAGCAGGACCGGGGATATCTGCATAGGAGATTAGATGAGGCTGGGGACTTAGGGGCACAGATTAGAGTCACCCCCCTTGAAGTCGAGGGGCTCCTCAGGGCATTGGACATTACAAAGGCGCCAGGCCCTGATGGGTTACACCTGAGAGTACTTAGAGAGTTGGCAGGGGTTCTTTCACGCCCGCTGGCCTCCATTTTTGAGACCTCGTGGAGAACGAGGACTTGAGGGTGGCATCAGTGGTCCCAATTTTCAAAAAGGATAGTAGAAGGG